TCTTTCTTTCTTTCTTTCTTTCTTTCTTTCTTTCTTTCTTTCTTTCTTTCTTTCTTTCTTTCTTTCTTTCTTTCTTTCTTTCTTTCTTTCTTTCTGTTGGTCCTGGGGCTTGAACTCTGGGCATGGGCACTATCCCTCAGCTCTTGAGCTCAAGACTAGCACTCTACCACTTGAGCCACAGCATCACTTCTGGTTTTCTGAGTGGTTTATTGGAGATAAGAGTCTCACAGACTTTCCTGATGGGGATGGCTTTGAATCACAAACCTCAGAGCTCAGCCTCCTGAGTAGTTAGGATAAAAGGCGTGAGCCACCAGCGCCCGGCTTCTTTTCTTTCCTTTTCTTTTTCTTTTTTGCTGGTCCTGGGGCTTGAACTCAGGGCCTTGCTGTACCTGAGCTTCTTTGTGCTCAAGGCTAGTGCTCTACCACTTGAATCACAGCACTACTTCCATAGTACTTTATTGGAGATAAGGGTCTTATAAGGACTTTTCTGCCTGGGCTGGCTTCAGACTGTGATCCTTAGGTCTCAGCCTTCTGTGTAGCTAGGATGGTAGGTGTGAGCCACCAGTGCACGGCTCTTTTTTCTTTTTCTTTTTAAAATATTCATTGTTCTAGCAAGGAAAATAGGATCAAGTTTCACATCAAATTTATTTAAGGGTAAAGACTAGCTGCTGTCAGCCAGGTGACAGTGATGTATATCTACACTTCTAGCTGGTCAGGACACGGAGACCTAGAGGACTGAGGAACAAAACCAGCCTGGGAAGAGAAGTTTGATGAGACTCCTGGATTCTTAGTGTTACATGTCTTAACAGCTATCCCTTTTTCCACTCTAGCATTCATTTTCTGTGGAGAATCTTAGGATATTACATATTTATTCTCTTAGTACCTCAAAGCTTCTCTGTAGATTTCCAGATGACAGTGTACCTGCTGCTCACTGTGTGGCTACAAGGTATTATGACAGTGGTATAAACTGTCTGGCTTTTAGACTAAGAAATCTTCCATTAAGGCTAAGCACTTAGTAATAGTGTCTTATATACTTAAAAAGGTCTGTACTTCTGTTACTACTCCGAATTATAAAATAAGGAAAAAAACTAATGATATGCAGAAATTTGTGTTATTTCTATAAAGGCAAAGAAGAGAACACTAAAATGTCAGTGCTGGCTGGCAGGCTGCTGAGTGGTCTAAACTTTTTCTTCATGAGCATTCAAAGCCAAGAGCACAGAAATGAAGACAGCCTGAAGTCTGCCCAATTGAGAAGGGGAAGCCAGCTCTCAGTAATGTCTCCTCAGACATCCTCCTCCTCTCTTCCTACCCTGATGAGCTGTCATTAAGTATAAGCTTATTAGAGTAGACTCACTCTTCTTTTTTTTGGGGGGGGGTCCGGTCGTGGGCCTGAACTCTGGGCCTGGGCGCTGTCCCTCAGCTCTTCAGCTCAAGGCTAGTGCTCTACCACTTGAGCCACAGCACCACTTTCGGCTTTTTTCTTTCTGCTTATGTGGTGCGAAGGAATTGAACCCAGGACCTCAGGCATGCAAGGCAAGCGCTCTACCACCGAGCCACTTTCCCAGCCCCTAGATTCACTCTTGACAGGGGTTTGTAAACAGTCTGCTAGCTTGTGATTGTCCCAATGATTTTACCTTACGACACCTCAGCTTCTGGTGTGTAGTATGTGAACTTGAAAAGAAAAAAAAAATCATCCTAAAGCTATAAGATCTTCTCTTCCTCTTCTAATAGTGTTTTTTTTGTTCTTTTTTTTTTTTTTAGCTTTGAATAAGAATAAATGAATGATAGATTAGTGTTGAGGCTCATGCCCCAAATACTGACTCCTCAGGAAGCTGAGGTCAGGAGGATTTCGCTTTCAGAGTATCCTGGGTAAAAAATGGTTGTGAGTCTCCATCTTAGGGGAAGAAGCTGGGCATGGTGGTGCACATTTATCCTATCAGCTATGTTGGGAAGTATAAACTAGAAGGACCACTGTCTAGGCATGGACCCAGGCAAAAAGTGAGATTCCCTCCATCTCAAAATAACTAGTACAAAGAAAGGTTCAGTGAGAGAGCACTTGCCTTGCATGTGCAAAGCCCTGAGTTCAAGCCCCAGCACTAACACCCTGCAAAAGAACAGAATGAATGGATTCAGTAGTTATTTTATTTTTAAAAACCAGGTTTATACTTAGATTTTTTAAATTATAACTTCCCTGTACAACTATTTGAACATTAAAAAATAATTTTTGAGGTCCCATGTAGAAGATAATTGTGCTGGTTTGCTAAAGCTACCGTAACAGCCACAATCTGGGTGACTTATGCTGCAGTGTCTCATAGTCTGGATGCTGGAATTATGTGCTCAAGGAACCAGCCAGGAGGTATCCTTGAGGCCTCTCTGGCTTGCTGATAGTATCTGTTCCCTGTGCCTTCACAGTCTTTTCTCTGTGTACTATAACTTAATCACTGCCCCCCCATACCTCCTCTACCTCCTTTCCCATCTCCTTTGTGGGTCCTGGGGCTTGAACTCAGGGCCTAGGCACCGTCCCTGAATTTTTGTGCTCAAGGCTGGCATTCTTCACTTGAGCCACAGCTCTACTTCTGGCTTTTTGGTGGTTAATTGGAGATGAGAGTTTCGGGGAACTTTCCTACCCAAAATGACTTTGAACTGTGATCCTTAGATCTCAACCTCCTTAAAAGGTCCTCCCAAATTTTCTCATTGTTATTTCTCAATAGGACCCCACTCCTAAGTATGCTCCCAGTTACATGCTGATGTATTGGAAGTTAAGACTTCAGTATAAATATATATGAAAAAGACACACATATAAATTTGGGGTAGGGCAGGTAAGTATTATGTATTTGAGAATGAAAGACATTAAGGAGGGGGACTTTGAAACAAAAGTTGGTGGCTGAACACGGAGGTGTGTGAGAGGGAAGGATGCTAGTGTAACTCCCAGATTCCACTGCTCTGGGAAGAAGAACAGATATGAGGGAGAGGATATGCTGTGCCCCCATTTACTGCCTTGAACTTGGACAGTCAGGTGACCCGGCTTTTTTCCCCAGGTGAGGTCAGCTGTCCTGCTGTTTGGACCATATCACATACAATGAAGCATGCTATTTCTCACCTCTGAACTTGTACTTGAATGTGTTTTAAGACAACTACCACTGTCTTATTTTTACAGTTATTCCAAACTCTTTTCCTGATCAGTTCCTTTAGTACAGTGAACATTGTTTTTGTTTTGTTGTTGTTGTTGTTTTTCATTTTTGCCTGCTTTTCCAGTATCTAACACCTGGCCATATGCATCCAGTACATAGTAGTCAGTGTGATTGTTATAATCAGTTACTTGCTCTTTGCACATTTTAATGAAAGCTTGATATTTATCACCTGTTTGGCTTTCTTTCAGAATGAGAAAACTTTGGGACATTCCATGAGTCATTCAAGCAACATATCTAAGGTAGAGTACCTCCAAAATATGTTATTCGATGTCCACTCTTTGCATCTGTTGATACTTGTCTATCTTTTTTGGAGGGGAGAGATGGGGGGGGGGTTGAACTCAGGACCTAGAACTTGCTTAGCTTTGCTTGCTTGACTGATTGGCGCTCTACTACTTGGGCCCTACGTGCAGACTTTTTTGGCCAGTCCTGGGGCTTGAACTCAGGGCCTACACATTGTCCCTAAGCTTTTGCTCAAGGCTAGCGCTCTATCACTTGAACCACACAGCACCACTTCTGGCTTTTTCTGTTTATGTGGTACTGAGGAATAGAACCCAGGGCTTCATGCATGCTAGGCAAGCACTCTACCACTAAGCCACATTCCCAGTCCCAGACTTGTTTTTTGCTGGTTATTTTGGAGATGAAATCTTGCAGACTTTTCTTCTATTCAGGCTGGCTTGAAACCTCAGTACTCTGGATCTCAACCTCCTGAATAGCTAGGATTACAGTTAGGAACCATTGACCTTGTGATACTATTATCTTTTAAAGACATCAACTTCTAATACAGTTCTGTAGTAAACTTTAAGATCACATGACAATTGTTGCAGTTATATTTCTCTAATGAGGCAACTTTATGTTGAGGAAAGTGACTTTTAAGGGAAACTCTGTAGAAGAAATCTCAGCAAATAGAATATCTGTCTTAGGAATGCGTTTGACTGAGTCACACAGAGCCAACGGTGGTAATATAAACCTAGATTCATGGCTCAGGTGGTGAGGTTTTTGAAAGTAGGTGGTCTGTGGTTGAGTTGCTCACAGATGTCACCAGGCCCCTGGCTGTCTTTTCTTTCCATGTCACTTTCCTTCTGTGTTGTCATCATCCCTCTTGGCACCTTGGGAGCTGGGCCTTCACATACCTTGACTGTGTGTCTGCCAGGAATGAAAGGAATGATCAAGGAATGAAGAGGAAGGTTAATACTTCCCTGGCTGACCCCAGTTACCTCCAGCTAAGAAAAGGAGAACTTGATCTGCCCTCTCACAGCATCTCACCCTGCAGAGTGGTCCCTTTAGCACTTTCTAGAAGCATATCAGCTGTGAAGGTGTGTATGTCCAGGAGGCAGCAGAGGCTCCAACATAGTAAGGTTGCTCCAGGGTTTTCCTCTCAGAGGAGGCCAAGCCCACTCTGTCCCACTGGAATTGCTGCAGATCCCAGGAATTGGAATCCTAACCATACATAATCTTTGTGGAGCCTCAGCTGATGCCCACTCAGGAGGAATGAGATGCACAGGGCAGTGCACAGATATGATGGACTTCACTCTGAGAGAAGCCTTCCCTTTCAACTCTGAGACGTGGATCTGTTCCAAGTGACAGTTTGTAGAGCAAAGGATGGGTAGCACGTGCCTCAGTGAGAAGATAGGGCCCTGGATGCCGCCTGGGGTTCTCTAGCTTTTGAGGTTGGCGAAGGCTAGCACTACACTGTAGGCTGTTTTTGGAGTCCTACATAAATGTATTAATATATCATGAATAGTATGTACCCCTCCCCCCCATCAGTCAGATGTTCTTGGGGAGAAGTTAGACTAGGCATGTTTAAGGACCACTTTAAAGTATTTCCGCTCTGTATCTTAGCAAGCATATCCCAAAGAATGAGAGCATTGACCCACTTAGACATCTTGACTATTTTCTAGCTATTATTGCTGTTAGACAGGAATGAGATGGAACAGAGTGTCTGGTTGATTGAAGTACAGTCCAGTAGGGAGGCTTGGTAGCCCAATTTTGCTTCAAGGACATGTTGTGGCCGAGTTTGCTTTCCTGGTTCTTAATCCACAGTAGGCCAGTCAGAGGTTTGATTACTCAGATTCCTACACTGCATAGTAGGCAAAGTATGGATTTCTTAATTGATTGTGAAGAAAACAACTATCCCAGAGACAAGAGACTTACTTGCATGCAGTGAGAGCCAAGGGATTGATCTGGATGAGTTGCTGGCATCAGCTTGCTCATTCTGAGTCACAGACACCACTGCCCACATTTGAGCACTGATGAGGCCCATGTGTGTGTGTGTGTGTGTGTGTGTGTGCAAGTGTGTGCAAGTGTGTGCTTTGTCTCTTCCTTTCTAAAGGTATCTTATCATATTTTCATGTTTCTTTCTTACTAGTTTTCAGCTAAAGTATTAGGCCAGCATTTTCCAAGTTTCATTCAGAGGCTCCTGGAGTGTAGGGAAGGGGGGGCAGTTTTGAAACATGGAATAAAAATACTAAGAAAATGAAAGCATTTTCTGCCTTTCCACCCTCATTCTCTTATGGGGGTAGAAGGGATTCAAGGGCTGGGAATTGGGCAAGGTGACATCTTCTCCCAGAACACTAAAACAATGCATTCTTGTATTTTGAAGTGTCCTAATGCAGCAAGTACTGATAAATGTTGCTCCTGTGAGTACTCTGGGAGCCTGCACTGTGTTCAAGTCTGTGAGCCTCCTGAGGCATTCTAGAAGTACAGTCTTCCCAAATGTAGCAGTTTGGTTCATTTAGGAAGTATATACATTGAGCACCTTTTGTATGCAGACCAGACTACAGCAGTTTCAAATGTGATGTATTAATCTAGAAACATATTCCTCAACCTTGGTTAGGTGCAATTGGAAGAAATAAACAGGTTCCAAAGCATGGTGAAGAGTCCTTTGTGAGGAGGAGCCAGGCACTTACAATGGCTGTGGGAGTGTCCTTGGAGGAGCAGGAAGTGTGGAGGCCAGTGCTAGGCAAACAGCAGAGCAGAGACCAGGCAGGTGAGAGTTGTGGCGTGGCTTGGTTGTAGAGTGTTTCAGCACAAACAAAAAGCAAAAATGAAGCAATGCTTGCTTACATTGTGTGTGTAAGGGGGTAGGTCTTACAAAAGGTGACTGGTTTCATTTCCCACCTTCTGCCTCATTTGGCTGTGAAGGAGAAGCCCTAGCATGAAGTTAGGGTTCTGTGTTCTCATCTTGGGCATGTCCCTTTGGCTATAGTTTAACCATTCAAGTTCCGTGCTCCTTGGGCCAAGGCTGGCCAGATTGGCAGCCTGGGCCAAAGCTCACTTCGTGGCTTGTGGTGGATGGGGGTTGGAGGTCGGGTGGGAAGGAAGCATTCTGTAGCAGAGATGGGCCCTATCATCCATTGGGTGGAGTTTCTGACAGGGGCAGCATGCAAGCCTCCCAATGGAGTCATTTTGCATCCTGCACTGGCCTATATTTGATCATGGCACTGGCCTGTCTGTGGTTAGTTGCCCCATTCTTAAATGATTAAACTGCTCAGTGGGGTGTCCCGGAGCACAGTGAGGACTTTGGAGTTATAAGCAGTGCTTTTGCCTTCAGCTCTGATTTCCTCAAAGAATTCTTGGCAATGAAAATATGCTTGGATTATATTTGAAACATTAAATATTTAAAGCACATTACAATAGTAAACTTTTGAGTGATAAGTATCAGATGCAGCGCTTTCACCCTGCTGTTTTTGTGGCTTTAGTCCTTCCTGTGGTTACACCTGTAGTTTCTGGGACTGTGAAGCCATTTTGTTCATGGCAAAACCAAATTGTTTTACAAGATTCCAGGTATAGTGTGGACACCTTGGGAAGGCAAGCCTTCAGAAAGCGTTAAGCCACAGCCTTTCCTCTAGCTGTGCTGATAGACATCCCTCATTGTGCCCAAAAGGGGAAAGAAAATAATTCTGTGGCAGTGCTACTTCTAGGGTAATGTTCATGAAGTCATTTATAATGGAAGTCCTTTTGGCATTCAGTAGTTCTTATTGTCCATTCTCCTCCCTGAATCCTATGTTGTATATGTATTAATGGGAGGTTTAATAATTGCCTTTGTGAAAGCCCTAGCACAAGAATCCACATAAATTTGCCACAGCAGCCATACACTGGCCTTTCCTCCTCTAATTGTAGCTTCTGTTTGAAGACGAATACAATTGGGAATTTATTTATAGAAACAAGAGTATCATGAAACTTTGGTTTTGACAGAGTAATTTCTGTACTAAGCAGGAAGTTTACTGAAGTAATCTTAGTCTGTATATCTCAGTATCTGAACACCAAATGAGACTTTGTCTCTGTTATAGAAAGTTGGGCCTGCTGAGGTGGTGGTTAGGAGCAAAGCACTATCTTAGTTTGAAAGGGGAGACAGTAACTTTTAGCAATTTCCTGAGGAGGAAGCACAAAGAAAAAGGTGATCTAGTGAGCAGGACTTCCAGAATGGTCCCCCAAATGGTCCCACCCTACTTCCTAAACCTCTGCATGCCCTGATACTCTCTGCTGCTCCCCGATTGTGACAGCACAGGTTGCTTTGGAATAGGGAGATGACTTTTGACTATACGCATGGCCCCGGGGGAATCCCATGAATCCTTAAAAGTAGAGAAATTGCTGTGGCTGATGGCAGAAGGGGAAGTGAATGAGGTTGGCAGCACACTGGACTTGAGGGGAAGAAAGGGTACCACATGTGATGGTATTTACTTGTTGCCCCAGTGGTAGCCACAGTGGGAGGTCTATGGATCTGCAGGTAATGAGTGTTACCTTGAGCAGTGTGGCCCAGCACACCATAACAGTACTCTTGAGCCACAGACAGACAGTGCATCCATATTCTCTACACTAGTGGAGAGAACCTGAGCTCTTTGACTTATTTTGATGCTTTTTGTTTTCATTGTAGAAATTCAGTTGGATAGCCAGTGGCTTTCAGTTTTACCTTGACTGTGATCCATCGTAAGGCATAGGTTTTACATTAAAACCCAGTTGATTCATGCCAACAACTGAAAAATAAAATTCCCTCTGAAAGGCTTAATCCTTACTATGTCAGGCATGCTCTGATTGCTACTCTCCGTTCTATTGTGGTTTTTAAAGTTTAGAGCATGAGCCACTAAATCAATTTATTCACCATGTTGTCCCTGATTTGACAAAGAATTTATTAGTTGTTGTACTTTTGTGCTACCGGGACTTGAATTAAGGGCCTCATGCTTGCTAGGCAGACACTCAGCACTTGAGCCACACTCCCAGCCCTTACTTTATTTCTTCAATGTTTTTAAGTAAAACTTTGCTTAGAAATTATCTGCATGGCATGGCACTGCCAAAGGGTCTCTATGAAGTTGGTGTCCTTTCCAGCAGGTGTCTGGTATCCTGCACAGATAGCAGCAGTGCTTCTTAGCCTGCTTCCCTTGTGGGCCTGTTAGGGACACAGAGAGAGCATCCTCCCTTTCTAGCCTTTCTACCTGGTAGTTGGTCCTGCAGGTAGGAATAACTAGATAGGGATCAAGTTGGTGCTGGTGCTTTGCCATCATAAGCAGAGCTGTACAGACCTGAATTCCTGCAGAACTGCTGGCACAGAGTAAGTGTACCTTTGTAATTCTGAGTACTGTTGCCCACAGCTGAGGTTGTATCAGTGCATAAACACACCTGTCCCCACACTACAGCTAACATAGCTGTGCTACAAACTTCATCATTTTCCCCCCTATCATGTCATCTTCTTGCAGTTGATTTGTTACGTACTCACAGTGAGAGAGGTTCAGCATCTTCCCATGTTTGAAGAGCCATCCAGTCCCATTTTTTAATTGAGTTATCAGCAGGAGATGCAGACATGAGCCCTGTTTACTTCTTATCCTCCTTGTTAATTCCCTTTAGATATGTGACTTTAAAACAAGCTGGCCCAACAGCCCATTCCTGCGGACCTATACCTGCTGATGGAAATCACATGGATAAATTCACCTTGGCTGGGGTCCTGGGACCCCAGGGTTTTCAAGGCTCTTTGCTGGCACAGGAAAGGCCCAACAAGGGGTTGCAATAGAGAAGAAGGGGCAAGGGAAGGGTGTGACTAAAAAGAAGGCCTCGAGGTTGTCCTACTGTGAGAAAGTGGTATGTTTCTGCCCTGCCTGAGAAGTAAATGTCCTGAGGACTGGGTCTCATAGCCCCTGCAGAGGTGGCAGGTTCTCCCAAAAGGACACAGAGCAGAAAGGGGTACCAGAACCATCAAAAAATTATATGAAGTGTCCCCTGCCCCATACTGGGATTTGAACTCTTTGTACTTGCTAGGCAGGCATTCTGTCACTTGAACCACACCCCCAGCCCCTTTTGCTTTTAGTTATTTTTCACATAGGGCCTCACTTTTTGCTTGGATTAGCCTCAGCTTATGACCCAGTACATGTATGACCATGTATGGTGGTTATACCACACTCAGCTTCTTTGTGAGGGGCGGAGGAGGGGGGGAGGAGGGAGCTCACTAACTTATTTCCCAGGCTGGCTTCAAACTGTGGTCCTTTTTAATTTCTTCCCAAGTACTTGGAATTATAGGTGTGAGCCACTGTGTTAGTTTCCTTGTTAAAATCACTCATAATGGTAGATCTGGTGGACAAGACAACTAGTAAGAGACTCACATACAACCAAACAGATTGTCTAAAATTGTCATTCTTCAGAGTCAACTGAGATTCAGGCTTGGGCAGAACCCCGAGGTCATCTTAAGGAAAGGGGACTTTTTTTGTTGTTGTTCAGTTGCTTCACATTTTTCTTCTTACAATTAGGAAGTGTCTTTTGGAACCAGCAGGAAGCCTCGGGGCAGCACACTGCCGCCTTCTTGCACACCAGTTACACACCTAATTGCAGCACCACCCTGTGTCAGTCCCTGTGCTGCAGCAGGGACAGGCCCCACCTCAGAGCACCGCAGGTCCTGCCCATTGTGACCAGGTGGCTTTTTCCTCACGGAACTTTGTCTCCCCCCACCCGCCTTGGCCTTTACCCCAGCCAAATACTAATGCCATGTTACCAGAGACTTGTGAGTTACTTGAAGGCTACAAGGCAAGTATGTACTTTCTCTTTGACTTCAGCCTCCTGCCTGAGGCCTGTCACTTCCCAGATGCTGACCCTGGTTTGGCAGCATTCTCCATATAAGACTCCACCCTTCTAATAGGATCCTCTGAGCCTCAGAGACACCAGAGAGAAGCCCTTGTGGGACTCAGTGTCATCAGCTGAGTTTAACCTGCGCAGTGAGGAAGGGAGGTGACTGATTGAAGTGAGTTGAGGAGGCTGTGAATACAGCTGGAGGCTGGTTACACCTTCCTTCCAAGTCTGCCTGAGGTGGGGCGGTGGTAACTTCAAGTCTGTCCTACAGATGTGCCCAGCCTGTGGCCTTCATGATATTTCTTTGGCCTTGCCTATAGAGGCTCAACACAGCTAGCTAATCACTGCAAGAAGTTCATGAAGTGCTGGGAAATGAGCCCAGGGTTATGTGTAAGCTAGGAAAGTGCGTGCCAGTGAGTCTTATTCCCAGCCCTTGTGAGGCTTTCCATCTCAGGATGAGATTGGCATTAAGCATCAGAGAACCACCAAAGATTGGGGAAATTAGGGTACTTTAATTGTTTCCCTCACTCTGTCTCTCTCTGGTAACTGACAATAAAACTTTGGTACCAAAGGACTTATGTGCCTAGCTTAGGGCTAGAGAACCCTCCAAGGGGTGAGATCTTGGCATGCTGCCCTGGGGTAGGGGAGGTACTAGAGAAAGATATAGCTCATGCAGATGGGCCTACAAGACATGGGGTAGGGGTAACAGCACCCTGTCCACTTAAGTCCTAAGACTATTTCTTTTAGGAAGAATCTTGAGACATAGCAACACAGGCTTAATTTAAAGAATGTCATTTTTGTGTCTGTATGTGAATGGTTAAGAATTTTGTCCATTAGTGCTTAACAAAATATGTGTAGGTGGGTACCAGTGGCTCATGCCTATAATCCTAGCTGGTCAGGAGGCTGAGATCTAAGGATCCTGATTCAAAGCCAGAACAGGCAGGAAAGTTCATGATCAGGCTTCTGATTGGATATGAAATGATGGCTAACCTCAATCTGGAAGGAATACGAGCAGAGGTCCAATTGGCACCCCAGTCCTGGCTCTCTCCAGGTTAGTGTCTGTGTTGCATGAGCAGTGGCATGTGCCATTCTGGTGACTGTCAGGTGTCACAGGTCATATTGGTAGAATGCCAAGATGACAGCGGAACTTGGGGTACACTTAGAGAGAGTAGAAGCTTGTCCTGAGCCAGGGAATTATGAGCCATGCTGGATTACCCCTCCCCCAGATCAAGAAACTAGGGGTTTACTCAAAGTGATAACATTGTTTCTTGAGCCCTTCCAGTGGAATAGAGCTGATGCAATAGCCTGCCTCTATTATAAGCAAAGCAAGTTTTGGTGGATGTGAGGACTTTAGAATGCCTTGCTAAACAAAACACAGCTCTAGACCCCCAATGGGGTTAGCATGGGAAACAGGGGCCTCCTAGCTCCTCTACTTCGTCCTCCCTCCCTCCCTCTATTTTATTCCTCCCTTCCTCCCTCCCCTCTCCCATTACCACCCCCCTCCATTTCTTTTCTCACTGTGGTACTTCTCTGTCTCTAATTTGGCAGTACCTTCAGAGGCTCTTGATTATTTTCCTTACTTCTCAGTTGTAGGGTTGCATCTCTCTGGAGTGTCCTGGGTTGTGTTGTGGCTTTGTGGCCTCAGATCATGTAGTCTCTCTATGGAGAGCTGGGTAGTAGAGAGCTGGTAGTGAGGTTCTGTGGACCAGTGCCCTAGGCACCTGTGTGATTTGTGGAGGGAGGAGAACTCTTTCTTACATTTGCGTAGCACCTGAATTTTTGTGTGTATGCATGCTAGTCCTGGGGCTTGTACTCAGGGCTGTCCCTTTGCTTTTGTTCTCAAAGCTAATGCTCCATCACTTGAGTCACAACTCCACTTCTGGCTTTTTTGTGATTCATTGGAGATAAGAATCTCACAGACTTTTCTGCCTGTGCTCACTTGGAACCAGGATCCTCAGATCTTAGCCTGCTGAGTAGCTAGGGTTACAGGAGTGACTCACCATCATCTGGCTTTGTGCTTATTTTCTTAAGTTAATATTCACTAGCTAAGTTCAGATACTTGGGAAATAACCAGCCACCAAACTTGTAGGAGCTTAGAAGTGATGTGTACTGGTCTCAGGTGTTTCGTGGCTACACGTTTGCCACAGAATGCTGTTGGAACTGTTCCCCTAGGCAAGTAGGAGCCCAATGCATAATCCTTGCAGAGTAGTGGGGAATAGCAAGCACGCTTAGCGTTTTCTACCTACTGCCATTGCCAGGGAAACTGTTTCCTCAACACTGACTGAAGGTGTGTCATTGCAGGCTGGGAGTCCTCCATCTGCATCCGTTCCAGTGTCTGCCTTCTCTCGCACTTCTGTCACACCATCCAACCAGGACATCTGCAGGTAACACTGCTTCAGATGCCACCTTGGCTCGGTTGTCCCCAAATGCACAACAGTGTCTGTAGGTTCTGTTTTCCATTGTTGGCCCACTTGTATGTGCCGTTGCCCAGTTACCAGAGTCTCATTTCTTCACTGTGGTGTCTGTTCTCTTCTAAACTTGTTTCCCTCTGTGCTTTATCCCGCTGTTGTGCATGCAGTTCCGGTGCAGTGTTTTCTGACTGTTGTCACCACAGTCCCGTGCAGTCTGCTGTTGTCTTGAAAGCACCTCTCTGCCAGAGGTCTGTGACACAAGGGCTCCCTGTGACAATTATCTGTAAAGACACATTACAGGCACCAAAGAGAAACTCCTTTGGTTCAGAATGGGTCCAGCCCTTGAAACCTATGAAGAACTCCAAGGCCAGAAGAACACTAACGTTCTCAAAGTCACTAAACGATGTGGGTGAGAAGACCCAGGATGCCTTGGAAAGCTTTGACTACGTGGAGAAGACATGTTCTGAAGGAAAACTAGCACCCCCTCAACACCCAGGGCTCAGAAAGAATGGGCCCCATGCTAAAGAGAAAAGAGCTCTGGCCCGCCCACCTCTTGGTCGTCCCAAGCACTCTCAGGTCTCCTCCCTTTCTACCAACCATTCAGCCACCACAGAGGTGGAAGCCAGCAAGGGCAGCCTGCACGCCCCTCTCTTAGAAGAGAAAACAGATGGCGAGTCTGTGTCTCGAAGCCGGCGGCTGCTCCGGTACCTGTTCTCACTCTCCCACAGCTTGAGTGCCAGCAGCCTGCACAGGTTCCATGAGCTAGAGAGCCATGCCGTTCACTTGCATGCCACCAAGTCCTCCAGTGGGCTGGCAGGGAGCCCAGACTTCTGCTCCGATGAAATGGGAGATGACGACGTCTTTGAGGACAGCACTTCTGTCACACTGAAGAGCAGGGTCCTGCGGGCGCCCCTGTGCTCAGTGGAGAAAGACAGTGACCTGGACTGCCCTTCCCCGCTCTCTGAAAAGCGCCCCCCCACCTCACCTGTCTCTACCTCAGGGGATGCCTGCAGGTTGGTTTACCTGGAACTGTTCGGGCCGTGTCTGCTCGCACCCCCGTAGCCTCACCTTGCTTTAATATGTGAAGTTTCAGGAAAATGAAGTAATAACCCAGTTGTAGCCACTTACAGAGTAATTGTTTCCTCCAGGAGATTGGAGTATTGATGCCATTTGAAAATCTCATGTTAAAAGATGAAGAAGCTACACATATTAAAGGCCAAGCTGACTCTTTGCAGCTAAAATAAGTAGACTTTGCATAAACAAAACAAAAGAAAATAGTATCTCCAGCTGTCCAGCTTGGTGCTCCTGATTTTAAGCATTTCCAGAGTCTTTATTCTCTCTCTCTCTCTGTCTCTGTCCTCTGTCTCTCTTTGTCTCTGTCTCTCTCTCTCTTGCTTTTTACTCCCTTCATAAGTGTGGGGGCCTGGCTCTCCCCAGCACCTCCTTTATCCATTTCTTCTCTTAACTCTTAGCTCAGGTATAGCATCCCTGTCCAAAGGTCCTTATTTTGCCTTATCTTCCTGTAAAGCATCCTTGTACAGACCAGAGTGCTCAGGGTTGATTCCCTGTCACTGATCCTGTTCATCCTCCAGGCTCCTTGCCTCAGTGCCAGCTGGCGTAGTTTTCATGATTAAATTTAAAACAAAACAAAACCTGACCCTAAAACAGTTCAAGAGTCTGATCTTGCTAGCTCTCAACTCCTACCAGGTGTCCCTACCTGGTCCCTGGCAACTGGAAAAGACTCCTGTCCTCAGAGGCCCCTGTCCCATGAGGTCAGCAGTCGAGTCCAGGTGCTTGCCTCCTTGCAGATGGCTGCTTTACATGAACCCCCATGTGGTTCACTGTGGTACTTTGGTTTCACATAGAAATGTTTAGGTTTTTGTTTCGCAGAAAAAATTGTCCTCTGACATGTTATGTTTCCTTAAATTCATCTTTCAATGACTGTCTCAAGTCTTACCTGAAAATGACTGCTTTGTCATTTCTTGTGTTATTTTCCCTCTCTGTTGCCAAGTGCCATCCTGGCTTTCTCTGCTGGTGCGGTAAGCTGGAACTTTCAGTTGGTGGTAGTTGTTGGCGTTTGTGTTTCTGTGCCTGTTACTCTGTGGTGTTCATTTCTCAGTGTTTCTTTGGGGTGGGGGGGTCTTCCTTGCACCAGACAGTTCCCTCCCTGTTGGAGCCCTTCTCACAGTGACTGCTTTTTCTTGTGCTGCAGGATCTGCCACTGCGAAGGTGACGATGAGAGTCCTCTGATCACCCCATGCCGCTGCACAGGCAGCCTCCACTTCGTACATCAGGCCTGCCTGCAGCAGTGGATCAAGAGCTCTGACACGCGCTGCTGCGAGCTCTGCAAGTATGAGTTCATCATGGAGACCAAGCTGAAGCCTCTGAGGAAAGTACGTGAGCGGGCCACCCGGAGGCACAGTGACCAGGCCTCGCAGCCCTGGGAGGCTTGCCTGTGCCCAGTGGTTTAGCAAGTAGGGGGCTGGCGCTTATGTTCTCATTGTAGATCTTTGTCTGTACTGATGTCTGAGCCCCTGCCCCCAACCTGGGAAGATGTTCTTCTCCTCCTGTTGTCATGCTTCTCTTTCTTACATGTTGAGACTGCTAGCTTCTCTGTGTCAGTCAGCTGCCCTTGACCACGACTGTCCCTTCACATCCTGGTCAGCATTTAGCTTCCTGCATATTAGCTGCTCATGTCTAGCCTCTCCAGTTGGGACTACATGTTAGAGGTTGCAGTCTCTCCCCAGCGCTCACCCTGCTGTATCACACAGTCTTTGTTTTTGTACACACTGGTAATAAGTATTTGCTGGGCGGTAGCAACATGTAGCCATCAGGCCTCAGGTCATTACTGTGTGTGTGTGTGCGTGCGTGCGTGCGTGCGTGCGTGCGTGCGTGCGTGCGTGCGTGCGTGCGCGCGCGCGCTTCTATGTATTGCTGGGGATTAAACAGAAAGTCTTGTGCTTGCTGCCACTAGAGTCATACCTTCAGTCATTTTTATCTTCAGTGTATTTTTCAGATAAAGTTTCACATACTTTTGCCCAGGCTAGCTTGCAGTCTTCCTATTTCCACCTTCTGTGACACCATACCTGGCCAACTTCTCCCTTCTGAGAGGAGCTCTGTTCCTGGCACTGGCCTCCTCCTCTGATATTGATAGTTTGATATGTCTATGTGTTCAGTACAGAATGTTTTTGGTTCTTCCTGTTTTAAAATATTAATATATAAATTGCCAGTGGAATTACATAGTCAGATAACAGTACATGATGGGGCCAATTTAATGCTTACTTACCTGTTTGTAGAGCTTATCAGGTATGCTGAGGGGGAAGGACTCCTTGTAGGCAGGCCTTGTGTGGGGAGGGTGGGACCTTATAGATGGCTTGGTTTGGGAAACAGTTCCTAAAGGACAAGTGGGCTTGGCAGGCAATGGGAAAGGAGTTTAGAGGGATCACATTTTAGAGAACATCCACCAAGAAGGTGGATTTGAGGCCACGTGGAATGGTTGAGCTATGGGTATCAAGAAATGGCAGGGGTCAAGGTGTTAGAAATTGCATGGTACTATGTTCTAGCTGGGAAGTCCAGAGATTTTGTTAATTATAAAAGCCCAGCAGAAAGCAGACAGGTGTTAAAGAAGTCAGCTGCAGACTGTTTGAAAAACTATTTTGCCTCAGTAAAAATCTTCATTGAATACATTACTCTATGCCAGTTGTTCAAGTGAGTGTGACCACACTTGGATAATCTAGGTGAACCACGAGGCTCTGCTTTCAGCTTACCCTGTACAGGACCATTGGGATAAAGGCAAGAGATAGGCAGAGTGTTTATGCCTTGTTCTTTCTCTGTACTTTTATTGTTTCCTTTGGATTTGGGAAGCAGTAAATGAGAAAGAAACCTGGCTATTTGGAGCAGCTGGGTGAGCTCCTGGAGGAGATGGCACTGGGGAGTGTGCTTGTATCTGGAACTCTGGGTATTGATCTCAAGCCCGTGCAGCCAGAACTCAGAGGAACAAAGGTGGAGCACCTTCTGCCATTGCCTTCCGTGTGACCCATTGCTCTGTGTTGTGGCATCATCAGACCTTTTGTCTGTCTGTCTTTGTTGGTTGGCATGTCAGGGAGACCTAAAATGTAGCAACTGAATCTGGGGCCAGCCTGCTCCCCTCAGGAGTTACAGGCTCCTTTGTCAGGATGCTCACTGCCTCTTCATGTACGAGTTAATGATGGCGGTTCAGGAGTCACTCTACCTGCAGCTTTCATTGCATAGCCAAATGGCTGTGCCAAATAGCTGGTTGAGGTCAAGTAGCTTTAGTACTAGGGAGAGTCCGCTGGTTCAGAGAGAGAGGGAAGGAGGGCTTGAGAGTGGCCAGCATCTCAACTCTCCCATGGAGGCACTGTGCTCTTGAGTCTAAGCCTCACAGGCTGCTTGTCTCCTTTCCAGTGGGAGAAGTTGCAGATGACAGCCAGTGAGCGGAGGAAGATCATGTGCTCAGTGACCTTCCATGTCATCGCCATCACCTGCGTGGTCTGGTCCTTGTATGTGCTGATTGACCGCACCGCAGAGGAGATCAAGCAGGGCCAGGTAACAGGTGAGCACGGCACACAGGGACCCAGGTCTTAGTTTGGTGCATTACCTAGCTGGGCCACACACATCTGTTTTTTGGAGGCGGGAGAGGGAGTGGAGGTCAGAATCACGCAGGAGGCACCCAGCATCCTTTTCGGTGTGGCTGTGGGTGCCCTCGTCAAGTCCAGTCAGAAGAGATGAAATTGCACCTCAAGGGACTGTCTAGAAACCCCTCCTGAGAAAGTAGGATACAATATGAAGTTGCTGAGCACTTTTCCATCCTGCTTTTGAGGAGAGGAGTTGATGAGTGGAGGCTTCTGGCTGTGGAAGTTCAGAGCTGTTTTAGTTGCTTTAGATCTTATTAAATAAGGTTTTCCAACAGGCTGACTTGAGTTTCTTCCTTCCAGGAATCCTAGAATGGCCCTTTTGGACGAAATTGGTGGTTGTGGCCATTGGCTTCACTGGAGGACTTCTTTTTATGTATGTGCAGTGCAAAGTGTACCTCCAATTGTGGAAGAGACTCAAGGCTTATAACAGAGTGATCTATGTTCAGAATTGTCCAGAAACAAGCAAAAAGAATATTTTTGAAAAACCTGCACTAACAGAGCCCAACTTTGAAAATAAAGATGGACGTGGCATCTGTCGTTCCGACACAAACTCTCCTTCCTGCACAGAGCCTGAGGACACTGGCGCAGAAATCATTCATGTCTGATGGTGGAGGATGCCACTCCCTGGACATCCACGAAGAGCTGAAGGATTTGTTTACTGCCAACTGTATACCTTTCTTGAGTCCTTTAATAGCATAGACTGTGCGGGTGACTTACAGTGGCCTCTGTCTTTCTGACTCTCCTTGGCAAGTCTCCTGAAAGTCCTATGGGGCAGACAGTACTGGGCCCCACTTTTGCCTGCTGCTCTGTAGGACAGGAAGGTGGGATACTCCACACACACACCATGGCTGAGTTCCTGCCCACCCTCCGGAGCAGAGTGAGAGAATAAAGGGCCATGCTAGGAAGATCAGCAGGGCCCAAAGTGAGCCATCCCTGCCCAGAGCCCGGGGCTAGGAATGTGCAGGGCTGGGTGAGGAGAGTCGGGGGATGGGGTAGAAGAGCCCCCATATACAAGCACCTGCCTTCCTTTGTTGGCATTCAAGCAGATGAGGCCTCAGAGCCCAATGACACATGGTTCACTGAACAAACAGCACTTTACAAAAGAGAATCTTTATTTTGTGATACCTGTGTCTAGTGGGGTTGACACTTAAAAGAGCATCAGACTCAGAAATCTCCCTTTGTTGCCCTTACCTCCTTCTCATCAAAGTAGATCTGAAACCCTTTTTGCCTTACGTACTTTGAGTAGCAAGATGTCCTCAGTGCCCAAATGACAGACGTGTGGCTGGTCAGCAGGGCAGAGGCTGACCAGAGCCCAGTTGATGGGAGCAGATGGTTGCTCAGTGGCAGTGAGCGAGATTCCTGCTTCCTGCGGCTTGGAGCCTGGTTCGGCTTGCCATGCATTTTTGTCAGCACTGAAGAAGGGTTTTGAGATGGAAGCAGAAAAGAAGTGAGTGCTTAGGAGAGACAAGTACTTAGGAAATGTTCCTTGACAGATAGCTGTCTACTACACTGGTATCAGCTGTGCAGAAAGAGCAGGTGCCATAGGCGCGGGCACTCCTGTGCTGGCTCCTACAGGGAGCTCTGAGGAGTCACTGTCAGGGCCAGGAGGCAGGCAGGCAGGCAGGCAGGCCGGTTCTGGTAGGCCCTGGCATGAGCCACAAACTACTGTGGGTCCCTCTGTCACTGCTCTGAAACCCACACCAACCCATTGTCGCCTTAACCACATAGAACAGACAGGATGGCCCCATACCCAGTCCATTCTGCCATCAGGGATTATCTCCAGCACCATTTTTCATACCACAGACTAAACCAAAATCACTGCCATCAAATGGCCTTTGCTCCTTTAAAAAGCCAGATGAAAATTCTGCTCTTGAAGCCCAGTGTCAGTGCCAGGCAAATAGCTCCAGAGGTAGCTATGCCACATGCTGTGAGTGACCCAGAGCCTGAGTCTCCTGGGGTGAGACAGCACAATGCCTGGGTGTCCTGCCCTGGAATGGGATGGAACAAACACAAGAATCGTTTTCTTTGCAGTTGCATGGAGAAGCCCTGTGGTTGGTGGGAAAGGCAGGAGGCAGCCTTTGAACTGGGGGAGGCTGAGAGAACAGGTCCTGTCCTGCTGCTTCTGGATCGAATCTGACTTGCTGGAGTCCCAGGACCTGTGGGGAGCTGACTCTGATGTCACCCTGTGCTCCCTGCGTCCCAGGTCCCATCCAGCCTGTCTCTGTGCTCACTGTGCCCCCAAAGTGCAATTACCCACATTCCTTCTCAGCCTGGGGACACCAGGCAGCTACAGACTGCCCACTCAGGGGAGCTGAGCCCCAGGCACCCCTTAGGAGCTGCCCAGCTAGGTTTGCGGTCCTGTCTACCCATCCCTGCCACCCTCCCCGCAGTAGATGAATTTATGAAGAGGCCAGAATCAGAGTTTGCATGTGAATCCCTCCCACGGGGCCCCTCAGGCTGAACTTGAGAAGCACGGATACTTTCTATGGAGAGAAGTAGACTTAGGGGTAGCCCTAGCGGGTGTCCTGGGGGGAGGTGGCAGCATCCCTCTTATGGCAAAGGTGCCTTTGGAACCATGCCAACCACATGCTCTTCAAATCCGTCTTCCTCCTTTTCAGGAGGTCTTGACCCCTTTTCTCCTTTGACCAGTGCTGGCATTGCACGCTGCCACCCCTTGCCTTTCTCCCTCCTGGATCTAGTTCAGCGCCTGTGATCCAACAGAACCTAGCCTCTGTCCATCAGTGACTCAGTGAAACAGGTGGCATCATGCTGCCCTCTAGTGGGGACTCTGGATCTGCGCAAGCTCCCATAGTCTGTCCACTTGCCTCTGCTTTTGTGGGGCTGCCTGTCCAATTTTTGCCTCCGTTTGTGCCTGTCTTTAGTGGTAGGATGGCCTAGGGCTGAAACAAACAGTCCTGGGATGAGGCCTCAGAGCCAGGAGGGCTGATGCTTTTAGGCCAGGCAAAGGGGAAGAAGGAAACTGTCTCAGGGTGTCACAGCCAGCCCTCTCTCCAGCTTGGCCTTTACCCCATGAGTCATAGTTCCACTGATGGGCTTCTGACTTTATCTGCCAGAAGTCATTTAGGGTGTGTGCCCACTTTATTTTAAAAAAGAATTCTCTGGAAATGTAAAAGTTCTCTTCCTACTCCAAACCTCTGTGTGTCTCCTTCAGTGCTCTAACTAGCATAATGTGTCCAGAGCCTTGGGAGGCCCCTGCAGGGGGTGGGGCTGGGGCTGGGGCTGTAGAGTGAAGAGCATGCCCCCTCCCCTAAGGTGTGGCTGGATGCAAGTACACTTGTGAGGTACTACCCCTTTGAATCTGATTTGAAATATGCAACTTCCAAGCCTAGCCCAAGGAAGGATGGAAACATAGGGAACCTAAAAGCATTTGTCATTCGTTTTGGAAGAAATTAAAAGTTGTACAGCTGTCTGGTGCACATTTAGATGGTAATGTTTATAGAAAGTTGATTGTTAATAAAAACCAAATTTACACTGGCATGTGTGGTGTAGTTCCTAAAAGACTTCATATTTGAAATATTTCATAGAAAATTTCTAGTGATCTAAATGTCTAGTTTTGTATCCTTTTGTGTATGTCCACTGTTTCTCAGTATTACCACTTGAATAATTATCTGTATGGGGAGTTGTGCTATACAGTGGGTGTCTAATTGCAGCAATAAAGCCTTTCTTTACAAAGGAGTTTTGCTAAGAGTGCTTTCCTGTACCTGCAGGCCGGGGACCCTCTCTCTAGGTTCCTGTAGCTTATATGTCAGGAAAGAATTAGTAGTTTCCTGCTGGTGTGTTTTCCTCAGCCTTCAGACCCGGGACTTGGGGATGTCCAGAGGGCCAAAGGATGGACAGACTCATGTCCACAGGAAGCCAGCCTCACATTCAGGGGGTGTCTGGAAGACATGCCAGGCAGCCGGGGCAGTTGATTGACATTGACTACAGCCCAGCTGAGTAAGAGAAACCAGGGAAACCTGTTAGGGTTCTGGTGACCGCTCCCCAGGCTGTTTCCTGCTTGTGTAAAAGTTCCAGGAGGGATAGCAGCACCACTGGTCCTCAGATAATGGATGTCCACATGCACAGTCCCTTGGACTGTGGTACTCCAGAGACCCTGGGTACTCCAGAGCTGAGGTGGCTGGAAGCAAGGCTGTTCACATGAGCAGAGGGTTTGTCCATGCCAGGCTGCCTGTCCTTGGGGGCTAAGTGACAAGGGCCTCCATAAAGTGGACTTTGCCCAGAAAGCCTCGGAACCTGTTGAGGAAGGTCAGTGTGCGGGGCTGAGTGGAGGCCAGGGTGCTCCTAGGCCTGCACTCCCAGTTGGGAATAATGGAAGAGAATGAGAAAGCCACTCCTGCAGGAATTTGAGAGTGATTTGGATGCTTGATGACTGAGGAGTTTGAAGACACGCCAGGTGTGGGCCAGACAGTACAGAAAAGCTTCAGGCACTGCCCCTGACACCAGCCACAGTAAGGGTGGGGCTGCCACAGGGCTCCTTTTCTGTCAGGCTCTGTCATACAGGGCAGCAGCTTACTCAATAGCAGCTTCCTGAAGCCAGGCATTTGTGGCTTGCACCTGTAATCCTAGCTACTCAGGAGGCTGAGATCTGAGGACCATGGTTTAAACCAAGCCCAAACAGTTGTGAGATTCTTCCAACTAACTGCCCAAAAGCCAAAAGTGAGACTGTGTAGCTCAACTAGTAGAGTGCCTGAAAAGCTCAGGGATCGTGCTCAGGACTAGCACCAAAAACATTATTTTTGGTACTGGTCCTGGGGCTTGAATTCAGAGCCTTACATACTTGTTTGGCTTTTTTATATTATTATTAAGGCTGGTATTCTACCACTTGTGCCACATGCTCCACTTCTGGCTTTCTTCTGATTAACTGAAGATAAAGAGTCTCACAGACTTTTTACCTGGGTGAGCAGGATTTAAACCACAATCTTTACATCTCAGTCTCCTGAGTAGCTGGGATTACAGGCAAGAGCCACAATCACCTGGCTGCTTCCTATTTTTATAACTAAAACAGTGTCCATTTAGTTAAGAATCTCTTTGGATCCTTTTCCTGTTACAGTGGCAAAGTTAGATAAGAGGACATGCATGTGCACGTGTGTGTGTGTGCACACACGCGCACACACACACACGCACGCGCGCGCACACACACACACACCTCTGCAAACCCTGACTCAGGAGAAAACAAGTGTAGCTACTAGGACAGTATCTGAAGTTTGTCAGCTAGATGGGGGAGTTCACACAGAAGGCAACTACAGACATCTGACAAAACTATGGAGAGAGGCAAGCTCTAGCTGGCCAGCAGAGGTGGTAGCACTTGGATGGTATGTTTGAGAGGAGCAGGAGCCGTAGGGAAGGATGAGGGACTTTGATCAGGTTTGGGCAGGGAGACTTTGGCTCAGATAGAAACGCCTCAATTGTGGATTTATTTTTGGTGGTGACCGGAGTTTAGAGAATGTGGAACAAGACTTACGAACTTTATTTTTGTGACAACCAAAAGTTAATTCACAAGTATGTCTTTGGACACTGGCTGCATGCAAGAAATGGAATTAACTGTGACTAGCACAAGTAATCGACGTGCCCAGTAGCAGACCTGGACATCCTAACCAGCTGCTGTGCTGGCCAGAAGTGCTAAGCTGGGCGTGGAGGGGCCTTGCTCTAACCCTTACTGCGGTGTGAAGGAAGGCCCCTGACAATGCCTTCACAGTTCAATCACTAACAGTGGAGGAATAAACATGAAAACGCACTGAAGCCTTGCTATAATGTGACTCATCCGAGAGTGGTTTGATACCAGGCAGCCCGGGGCCTGAGCTCGGGCTCGCAGCTCGGAGGCAGGTTGGAAGCTGGCAGGGCAGTTTGCTTTGTCGGCCAGATGGGTGTAGGTGGCTCAAACGGCCACACTGTTGGGGATGCGGTCTGGAGACAAGTAGTAATAAGGCAGCTTTTTGTTCTTGTTGCGTTCGGCAATCACACTGACGATGGCCTCCAGGCTCTTGCGGAATCGAGCCATGGCCTCCTTTACCGGCTTCTCGATGAAATGCTCCTCGGGGTACATGCCCAGGAAGAGCTGAGGGCCCAGACACCACACACAGGCAGGTCAGTGCACGATGACCTTCACACTGCGTTCCCTCCCGTAACCCAGAGCCTGGCGCCCGCCACCACCTCTCCTTGGGTAGAGAGGGAGGTGACGGTCTACTCTCCATTCCTGGCTGCAGGTGTCCAGAGAGGGCCGATGAGATTGTGGGATGGGTTAAACATGGGTGAGCTGGGTCCCTCACCTTGCCAGGTCTCACCTCATTTTCCTGAAACTGACTCAGCGCCCACACAGCGCCCAGATGCCAGCAGGAGCGGCCGCGGTCCGGCAGCGTGTCCACAATCTGCTCGATGGTCACCACGCCCTTGGCGGTGGGCGGTGGGGCCCGCATGGTTGGGGGAGCATTGGGGATCCAGGAGCACCAGTCGTACTGCGGGAACAGTGCCGACCCAGTGGGCGCCCGCAGCCACCAGTCCAGCCCACTAGCCCACCGCACCCGCCTGACCAGGGGGAAGCTGGCCAGGCCGCACCCGCCCCTGACCCGCCCCTTGACCCGCCCAGGGCACCGCCCATCTCCTAAGGCCTCACCCTGCCTCCCCGCTGGCCCCGCCCATCCCGCCCAGGGC